TCGAATGATACATATTTTGTTCATATTGTGGAAAGTCCCTCTTGGGGGTATTTCTAGCGCTTTTCCGGTCCGCCGGCCCAGCGTGCGGCGCGGCGGTTTCGAACCAGCAGTTTTCGCGCGGCCGCCGTGCAGCCTGGAGCAGCGACGAGGGCTGTTCCAGCATTTGTGCAGTAAAAAGTGAAATATGTGAACTGTGGTGTTCGTGCTGTGAGTGAGGCCCCCTCTGGCCTGCGGGACGCACTAATCGTGCCTATACCCGCGTTCGAGACGCCTCCCTTCCCCTGCGCGCGCAATGTAAGTGGGCCAGACCTGTGCATGCACATGTGAGCAGATGTTTTGCGGTCGGTGTTTTTTATATATAAATACATTCATTTGCCTTTAATTCAACTTTTTGTATTTTTAACTTAACTGATGGACATAGATGGGCTATAAAAGCTAATCTGGTTGGCGATCATGATTTATTCGAATTATCTGCGTGATCGTGCAACTGCCATGATTGTTATGGTCAATGTTCAGGAAATATTCGTCATACGGGCATGTTATACTTTTGGCTTGATGCGGTGCACAAAACCATGTTCTTCCACATACGCAGCAGTTCTTGCTTCAAAGACTTATATGCTGACGGTGCACGATAGGTATACCTACTGGGCATACCTACCTCATGCATTTACCACATCTATTCGAAAATATGCACTCAGAATTGTCTCCAGTCAATAGTATTAATTACGTGACCGTAATAAATACTAATGATTCCAGAAACTTCCGAATGGATGTGGTGTATGCATTCATTGATTATATATCAGTATTTCGTTTCTTGTCAGCGCAAGCCTTTGAGCAATAACTGACGCCAGTCATGGTTTTGTGCACCACTTCCAGCCAAAAAATAACCTGTCCGTATAGAAAATATTTCCTGAATCAGTATCGTGGCAATTGAAAACGAACGCGAATCGTAAGTCCTTAAGGTTATCAACGCAAACAAAGCGATTGTTGACAAGTTCGAACAGAGCGTTAGTACACTTACTTGTTGACAATTTGTAAGCTAGCAATGCCCAGTCAAAGGCTAGTTCATCAACAAACCAGGGGTTGGTGAACCGACAAGGAAACGAATATGCCTATCCAGAAGTTGGTAGGTCCACAAGGCCCAGACTAGTACTCAACAAGGTGACGCCTATGCGAATTGGAACCAAACTTGTAGACAAACTGTTAGTTTGTTGGCCAACAAGCCTGGGGTTGGTGAATCGACAAGGTATCGACAAGGTGACGCCTATGCGAATTGGAACCAAACTTGTAGACAAATTGTTAGTTTGTTGGCCAACAAGCCTGGGGTTGGTGAATCGACAAGGTATCGACAAGGTGACGCCTATGCGAATTGGAACCAAACTTGTAACAAGGAGCCAACTTGTAGATTTGGTTTACAGTGTATCATGGCTTAGACGGACGTCTGTAGCACGGCTTAGACGGGCGCCTATAGCATGACCATGGGTTCAACCAGACGGAGCGGAAGACTCAACCCTAGGCGAAAAATTTCGCCTATATGTCGACTGTCGAGTGAGCTTTAGCATTTTTGGCGAATGATAATTGTCGGTTGGTTTCAACTTTATGCTGCTACATGACGTGAAGGGCTTATTCTGAATTGCAGGCATGGCATCTTGCATTTGAGCTGTTACTTGTTGGCTGCTTGCATGTTTTAGGCAAGCACTAAAGAAAGCTGTTCTTTTGTTTTTCAGGTTTTGTACATTCATCTCTATCTACGAGTAAAATTACTTGTGTGTAATACAACAAACATTAAAAACCTTTTTTCATTGTGAGCAAAAAAAAAAACGCATCTCCTATGCAATCCTCATAAGCTGAGAACTGAAGAAATTGCTTGCCCATGTTATACAATCATCTAAAAATGCTTCATGATTTGGTTACACAGAAAATAATTTCATGAACATGACAAAATCTAAGTTAGATGGAGATTCCTGTAAGACAAATATATCTGAAACTGCGGCCGTCCCGAGTTTATCCACGCCTGGAGCTGTCTCCGAAGTCATTCGACGGTGGATCATGGGAGACGAATGCGACGTTCATCTGTACCGAGTGGTGGCCATCTGAAATTTGACGCTTTGTGATCCGCCGCTGATGTGCTGCTCGCTCAAACTGGGTGGAATGTGGTGGAGACGCCAAACGGGTCATTTTGGGTCAGCTGTTGCATCTGTCAATAATTGGGGATGTTCGTGACTAGTGTATAGGGCAACATAACAAAACGCTGCTTTCAAGTGACCTGTGATGTGGAACGAGACAACATTTATCAAAATCCAATGCTCGTGGTTATCGGGCGAACCACCATGATGTGGCTTGAAAGATAACGTTCATGCAAGAACAGGGCTAGATAATTTACAACTTTTTTCCTTTTTAGCCAATATCGTTGCACGTTTTTCTACACCTTAGAACTGCACTACAGCATGATGCCTACCTGCTGATTTTGATAAATAAAATGACGTCCTGTTACCTCGATCTCTATTCTCTACATCTTCTTATTAACCCGCGAGTTGCTGGGGGGGGGGCGTTAAACGCCCCCACTTTTTTCGCCGGGCCATAGCCACCATAGCATAAGAACGGCGCGCCGCAGGCGCGCCAAATTTAGGGTACCTGTAGGGAACTGATTGAAGTTTATTGTGACGAAGTTTAAAAAAAAAACGGTCGGAAAATTTTTGAGATATCGAGATTTTAGTGACGTCATGATTTCTGAGTTTTCGACCAAAAATGGCATATGTTCAAAAAATCATATAAAATCACAGAATAGACATGCATATGCCATAAACGCCATTAGACTGCCAATACCATGAACAATCAAATGGCTATCTTCGATTATTGATTATCGCTCCGCATTTTCCAAAATCTTGAACTAAATCTTGGCAATTTCTCGTGACTTCTTCACGACCATGATACATTCATTTCTTAAATTGAACTTTTTGAGCCAACCACTTACACATATGATAAAATGAGTGTCATCATCGTGTTCCACGCCCCAAATTACCCATAAAACATGTGTCACAGGCTGCGAATATCAGTTTTGATTTTTGGGATACATGCCTACCCGGTTGACCTGACCTTGACCCTGACCTATGCTTGACTGACCCCTACATGGAGCTGACTCTCTTGTAGGCCTTATATGATGGATTGTGCATCGTTTTGACAGAATTTATGACGAGAGGCGCCCATTGCGAAGTCCTGAAGTCCATGCTAATGAAAGCCCGATTTCAAGTGTTTGACCTGACCTTGACCCGACCTGTGACCTCAAAATTCAACTTTAAAGTACTCATCTGAAGCGTCTCGGCGCGTTCTTTCGTTTGCCGCCTCGTGCGTTTCGCTGCGCCTATGGGTTCTCGAGTTATCGGCTGGGGGCGTTTAACGCCCCCCCCCCCCCCCAGCAAACGGTGGGTGGCGAAATACCCCAGCAACTGCCGGGTTAAAGGCGAGGTAGCTATTTAGAAGCATTGCGAAATGTATCAAGCGTCTTTAAATTGTTGTCATCATTGAAGTGCGCCTAGCAGATTGCTTCCATCGTTCGTCAAGACCGGAGTGTGCTTCCAACTCGTCGTATTCAACGCATGCAACGTTTTAAGTGCTTAGATATCCCGCTTCTTCGTTTGCTAGACACACATCTGATAACTGTCCTGTGAACGTATAGCTAACTACGATGCAAACAATTGCAAACAATGCAAACAACGTACATACTTGATATCATGAAGAGAAGCTGTCACTTGCGCTGACACATGCTTGTGATGAACGTTCGTCTTATCGCTGTTTGTTTGTGACTCGTAAATCTGACTGCCGGTCGTGCCCTTCAGATAGAGTGAAGTTCACCAGTCTCCTGACTTAGGGTTTGTTCCCGTCGCTCCTCTAACCTCCTCCAAGCTCCTCTAACCTCCTCTCGTTTCAAAAAATCGTTCCCGTCGCTCCTCCAAGCTCCTCCAAGCTCATCTTGATTTCACATCTCACCACCACTATTTGCCTCCTCCCTCATCCCAAACGGAAGTTGGTTTTTTGGAGGAGGCTCTTGAGTAGACATATTTGGCGCACGTAGTACAAATGTGAATTGTTTGTAAATGAGATTTGAGGGAAGTGGAAATGATTTTAGTGATTGATGACGATTGGATATCTTTAAATAGTAATGTTTGATATTAATCTAAGGTTATTTTATTAGAAAGCGATAATTATCTCTTGATTTATGTTTGCGCGCCATAAATCGCCGACCGTTACAGCCCGCAAACAGCTGATTTCCTCGCGAAAATGTTCCCGTGGCTCCTCTGAAACGGCTCTCCTCCAAGCTCATCCAACCTCATCCGAGATTTTTTGGGAGGAGCGACGGGAACAGACCCTTAGTCCAGAGCTATTCGTTCGAGATGCTGCTGAATTCGTGAAGCCGTTCGAACTATGAACAGCCCCAGTTTGGGAATTCCACTGAGATCAATCTATCAGGAAATGCACATTTTTGCACATTTTTTGTGGTCTTCAATTTCCTTCCTGTCTTTTTTTTTTACACATTCAACATATACGTGAATGGATTCAATATGGAATAGCTGTTTCTCAATAGTCGCGACATAACTGTCAGTTTTCTATATCTTCCTGTTGAAAGCAGTCTGACATTTGTTAGTTATCGCTATCATAAAAAAGTCTGACGGTTCAATTGACAATAAAACAGTTTTATAACACAAGTCAACATGATATCCAAGTTTTACGACTGCATGTTTGCTACAAAGTCACTAGAATCACGTGAATCACGTCCGTAGAATCATGTGAATTATTTGAATCATGTCCATAGCTGCAGAGCTACTCATCTCAACGTTAGGTACTTCAAACATCAGAGCGCACGAGCCTGTTTTGCGTGTGTATGTGCATTGTACAGTTTTGGAATGACGTCAGCTTTACAAGTAAAAAAAAAAAACGTTTCTCTAGCTGGAGCAAAATCCTCGTTCACGTGACAATGTGAACAACAAAAAAAAATGATAAAGATGTTTTGAACATGAAGATATATTTACACATACATTATACATCGTGTGTTGTACACTCAAGAATAATGTCACAAACAAGCAGTTTAGCAATCACATCAAGAGCAATCAAAAACACTGATCCGTCATCTAGAATAGTGATTGTCAAAACAAAACAACTTGCCGAAATACGCACAGCAGTCGAGCTTCGAGCTGCGCCTGCGCAGCCGCCATCCAGCTAACGCGGCAGCTCACCTCACCGAACTACGGCAGCAGCAGACACCACAACTAGGCCTATTGCAGCTCTATAAAACGGATACGTTAAAATATTCTGCCACGAGAGCCTACTCCTACGCCTGCGGCCGCGCGCACGTTATTCGCTAGGTGTTTTGGAATCCACATTTACAGTGTACGTGATTCGTTTCTGGGCTGCTGAGCCGCTTGGGGTCTGAGTATTTCTCTCACGGTGATTCAGGGACGGGTCGGGGCGGGGCGGGGCGGGCACCGCGGACACAGACGCTCGCACACTCGCACGACAGACTACTCAACAGAGACAGCAGCATTGCACGGTCACCCAGGCGGGGGCGGTGTGTCCGGTGAGGTGTTAGGGCCGCAGCGGCGAGGGCGCACGGCCGGGGTCACAAACACTGAACGGGTTGGCTTCTGTCGCATCGCGCGCCGCAGAAAGACCAAATTAATACTGACACAAATATCCGCTGCGCCGCTGGGCCCCGCGAGATATTAAATTACTAGGTAGGTATGTACAAAACACGCGCTAGTCTTCACGAACACCGGCGAACACGCTCACAGATCCGCGCTCTATAACGTCCAAAGCCGCTCCTTCCGGCCCTAGCCGACCCTGTGGGTCTACTGATGACCAGCGAGGGGCCCAGGGGACCACGAGGGGTCACAGGGTCCCGCCGCCCACACAAATCACACAAACCAACAGGAACTTCACACACACGACAACAATCACACCTAGGGCTGGCGACCTAAGCTACCCTCAGGGCACACCGCCTCAGGGTATTCAGACCGAACCACTGCCATATCTCCACACACATATACGCACACATTCAGCGTCTGGGTCGGCCGGCCGGCCGGCCGGCAGAGTGCCGGAGGACGCGGAGAGAGCGGCGGAGGACGCCCGTGCCGAGCGGAGATCGTTGGCCCCAGGTCGGTCCCAGTTCGGCTCGCCGGCCCGACTGCTGCGTAACCATTAATCCCGGTGTCAGTCGATCAATTAAGACGTATTTCACTTCGGCGTCGGCGAGCTGCCCTCCGGGCGCCCTTTTATCCTCTCCGTCATGATGTGAATGTCCTTAATCGGCCGTGCCGTCACACACCAATAAGGACCAAATTGACGGCCGCCGCGGCCGCCAAATCGTCCATCACGACCGCGCCGGCAACGCTCACGCGTCGATGATTGGTTCAGACGGACTTTTTTCCTCTTCCTCACAAACTTGTGCGAGTCATTCATCAAAAATCGACGCGGAGCCCCGGCCGTGGCAGCGTCTGCTGTCCGTGCTGGGCGATGAGCGAGTCTGACCCCGCCGTTACCCCGCCGTGACCCCGCCGTGACCCCGCCGTGACCTCGTTGTGACCCCTGGCCCGGTGCCCGCCGGCGCTCTACCGCGGGGGCAGGAAGGAGAGCCCGCTGGTGGCGAACCACGGAGTTTCCAGATCCGCCCACCAGACAGCGTTGTCTCAGAACGGCTTTCCGTAGCCGTAGCCGAAATCTGCGAATATTCGGGACCGTTAGTGCTAGGCAGGGATCAGCTAACTGATAGGCATTAAACTTATAGGGTCGTAAAACTTTATGAGGTCTAGACATTACCGCAGAGACATGCATTATGTCTGCAAGATATGCATAAAATATAACGGACGATTTTATCATGTTAATAAAAACATAATTCTACTTTGTGGGGATTATTGGAGATAATAGCTTACAAATATATGAAGCCATTACACAACGACATAGAGACACGTTTTCACCATGGACAACCCCTAATTCCTCACTACATACTACAAATAAGCACACGTTGGGAAACAGCAATTGAGACACGATATTACATGCAGGACACGTTCAAAGCACCACATATTCAAAAAAGTATTCATGGTATTCATCAGCCTCTCGGAATGCGTGGGACAAACAAAACCGAGCCGGATTCCTGTTCTGGCAAACACCTGAGATTAAATCCGTCTCCCGTCCCGGTCCTAAACTCTGGCGATAACACGGCAGTCGCCGGCGACCGCCGCGAGTTGGTAGGATTCCAGCCGGGGCCGATCTGTTTCAATCATCCAATCGTTCGCGGCATCTGGGCCGATCGCCTCCCCGTATCGGAAAAACCCCGTCCGATCGAACACGACTATCCAATCGAGTCGTCACCTCCATTTGATATGTATCGCCGGCGCCGTGAATTAGACTACACATTTTTCATAATGGTCTCGGTGGGTGAATGTTTTCATACTCGCCCGGCCGTCTAGCCACCGAGTGGTTTCAATTAACCTGCCGTGTCGGCGGGGCGGCGGCGGCGGCGGCCGGGCCGGTCAGCCCGGCGGGCGGGGCCGCCGGCCAGCCGACCGCCCGCCCCCCGCCGACCACCCGGCCGCGCGCGCTGTCGGCGCGACCAATCACCGGCCTCCCCGCGCCCACCGATGATTGATGATTCGTCGGCGTTATGACGTCTGCCCGCCGGCGGTCAGGTGTAAGATGGCGCGGTGCACGCGGCGGCCGGTCCAGGGCCGCCGGCCACCGCCCGACCGCCGCCGCTGCACCGCCGGCCCCTGTGCACGACGCCATTGCAACATTGCAACAGAGCGAGAGGCGGGCCGAGCCGGCCGGCGGCTGGGCGGCTCGTGCGTCAGGTAACCGCGGCGGAACCTTTGATCTTTGGCCGCGAGGATTCAGAGAGCCATTATCTACTCATAGTTTTGCGTTATATTTTAGCATTGAACCGCCGGATTTTTTATGGCAGCATGATTTCCTCTACCTAATTTTCTAATTTATTTTCCACCATGCCGGTAGGACTGACTGGGGGTAGTTACAGCTATCCGATTCATCGGCCCGACTGAGGGTGGGGAGCGGCTGACTCGGCTCTATCGCTGCCGACTCTGAATGACTCCCGGACTCTCTATTCAGAGTCCTGGCGTGGGAGAGCCGGCGCCGAGCGACAGCTCCAGATTCCTCAGAGCGCAGCACCCGCCGTCGGAGCGCCGCCCTCTGCCGACCGGCCGTTCACAGCCCACGCTGATAAACGAGCGCGCATGTACCAATCTTTTTATCGACCCCGAATCGCTCATGTCTTATTCGAAAGCGGCCTGGTCTAATTTGTCTTTTTGACAGTTTATATAATCACACTGGAAGTTGGCCGGTGGGATGAACGGCCGGCGCACTCCAAAGGCCCGAGCCTGTCTAATTTCCCTGTAGCCGAATTACATCTCTTCCAGTGTGGGATATAAACGAGCGCTGACCTGAACCGGGCGTAAACTTTGCGGCCGCGCCGGGCGTGAGAAATGGCTGCGCTGCGTGCCGCGTTCGACCGGCTCTCGACAGCTGGAAGGAAGGGCTGACAGCCATCCGGCCAGCGCAGCTGATAACTTTCCGGTACCGGCGAGCAAGGTGTGCGAGGCTGGTCAATAGCCATCAACATTTTTAATATTGATCAGGTAACTGCATAGGTGTGTATCTGCAACAATGTGAACCTGTGATGCCAAAAACATACCTTATAGGTAATACTTCTGTTTTGGGCAGCGTCGATTTTTAAACGTTTTGAGTGTTTACCTCGAACGGCAAAAAGTAAACTTCAGGGTAGCTGTATTAAAAAAAAAACATACGAATATTTCTAATGGCGGCAACTACAAGAGAAGCAGAACCAAAATTTAGAAACAGCATAGCTTTTTTGCAATGAAACGAGAGCTCCTGACTGGTGAAATGTTTGGATGGTATTGTATGTTTTCGGTGCCGAAAGACATGATCAATTCCATGTATAATGTAGGCCTACATTAAATTTGCCTTAGTGTCGCCTATATTTGCTTTCGTCCAAAATTACTTTCAGTATGAAGTGCTTACACAGGAATCCTTTTTCACTGCAATGCTTAAGTTGACAACATAAATGGTAGGGAAACACATTGCCAATAAAGCTGTTTTGATTTGTTATTTATCTACCCATTTATCCCTCACCTTAATCCTTTTCAATCTCTCTTTTATTTCTGCTTTTAAAATTCTTCGCGACCAGAAAATATGTCAACCGAGCAATAAAGGTAACCATAAAAATTCGTGCAACTGAAGTTCCATAATAGTAATGAACATAAAAATTGCCGTCAACTGCATCGACATTTGTGAGGAATGTTGGTTATATCAAGGGAAACCGTGAACATATCTCTCAAATGCTTCTACGAAAATTATGTACACTCTTGCGATCTAAATTGACATTGAGCATGCAAAGTACGGGACAGAATACAGGGAATTCAAGCAACAAATTTATTAACTACATTAAATGGTAAGACACAATTAATCGAATATTTTAACTGCAACTAAGTTACGATGGCTTTGGAAACAAGCACAATACTCCTATAAATGACGGCGTTGATGAAGGTTATAAACACCGGTCCCAAAATCATTAGCTCCCGTAAAATGTGCTGCTCTGAAGACACAGTGATCCGATCACGGTTAAGGTTTGGACACTGCAGGTTTTTTGCATAGAAACTAGTCACAAAATACATGTTGCAAAAAGCACCACTGATAGCAGGACGGCCAGACAGACCCCACGGGATTTCACATTTAGTACAGGACAATATGGGACAAAAGTAAACTGTTCTGCAGCGTTTTTAGGTACTGCGGCGCAGCTCCACGATTTTGGCATGGGCACACATATATCGACATGTGGACACATACTTTGGGACTATAAAAAAGTATTTGACGTTCGATATTGAACAACAAAACTACGAAAACTTGGCAACTACACAATTTATCAACATATCGGTACACTCACACACATCACACAATCTACCAGGACAAGAGGGAGAAAAGATAAAAACACATGCTGATACAAACTGCGAACTACTCCAGAACACATACAGATGAAAGACAGAAAGATGTCATACGTACTTGCGTCACTACTTATTCGCTAAGCTATAGGCAAGCTGCAGAGCCTGGGCGTCCTTTGGATAGTACATACTCTCCTGGAAGCCGGAGCCCCAGAAGCCTTGAACAAAAGAACAGAGTCGGATTAGAACGACAGTAGAGGCATGCGGGCCGGCCTCGGGCGTCATTTCGGGCAAGTACCGCCACTCCGCGGCCGGCCCCGTCACTCAGAACCTAGTGAAAACCTAGGCTACGCAACTACAGTGACTAGCTATCGCCTCAGACTGAGACGCGTCAGTGAAAAGACAGAGAAGAGAGTCTGAGAGTTTCAGATCACACGAGCCCACGGCGGACCGGCGACGCTAGATCATCGCGAGCGACGAGCGATACGGGACCACCGCTGACCTGACCTGACCGGACTGACCTGTGAAGAACTGCTCCGACATGCCCGGGTGGAAGGCGGCCGCGTGGTGCGGGTGCGGCATCCCCATGCCGGCCAGGTGAGGCGGCATCTGCGGCAGCGCGTTCATGCTCGCCATCTTGTGCTCCTTCTTCCACTTCATGCGCCGGTTCTGGAACCAGATCTTGATCTGCCGCTCGGTGAGGCAGAGCGCGTGCGCGATCTCTATCCGCCGCCGGCGCGTCAGGTAGCGGTTGAAGTGGAACTCCTTCTCGAGTTCGAGGGTCTGATAGCGCGTGTAGGATGTCCGCTGTCTCTTCGTTTCACCGTTGGCGTTCACTTGACCTGGAAAGACACAAATTTAACGTCAGTTATTACTGTTATATCCAGCAATGACATGTGATATTCCCCAGTGACGTTAGATAGACTCCAGTGACGTGCCCGGTCCCAACGCTCGACCGCCGGGCGGCACCACGCCGACATGATGAACAGCATCACATGATAAACACCATCAGTCAGCGTCACCAACTGATGGACGTCGTCAGCTGCACGCACAATGACCCGGTGACGTCATTTGGGCGTGACGGCGACGTTGCATGTGACAGACACCGGACAGAAGAGGGAAAGGTCGGGACGTCAGGGAGAGAACTCGGTGAGATGTCGAGCTTATGGGGAAGTCAATAAAATGAAAATCGTTTTCCAATAATTGTTCCAGGGGTTAAAAAGCGGATACTGGAGGCGAAAAGAGGATAAAAATGATCACTGATCATGCTTGACTTTCTGTTCCCTGTTTTGTCTCATTTATTGATAAATGTGAGGCATCATTAATGACGTGTGATTATATTCAAATTCGCAATTTAAGGTCAGCGAATTCGCAATCATATTCGACTCCTTTATCACAAATCACAAGCGTAAACAGGTTTATTATGCCCGTCACCATTCCGCCTCTCCAGTCGTTTCTGCAGTCACACTTACTACCCTTCTGTGCGTTTCCTGCACATCATCATGCACTGCGTTGTGCAAGTAACCTGCGCTGTCCGGAGTCTCTACCCGCGCGTGGCCGGTGGAGGAGGTCACGCCAGCGGGCCGATTATTTACGACTGCGACTGATTTAGGACCTGATGGGATTACACAGAGGTAATTAACGCTGCTAAACGATCCCAACAAAGCGGCACCATAAATTAGCGACAGTGTCGGCGGCGGCGCCGGGTCGGCCGACGGGCTAATGTTTCTACGGCGCGTGACCGTCCACCTGTGTCGCCAGCGCGCCGCCTTGGCCGCCAGGTAGACCACCATGGCCAACGGTGGTGTGGCAGCACTGCCGGCTGGGCACTGAGGGGCTGGCAGGCGGCTTGCTTTGATGGTGAGGAAGGGGGCGTTTCAATGTGTTTGACGCATCAAAAGAGTTATCATTTCTTCCATATATCGATTTCTGATAAATGTGGAATGCGCTTAGGTTGAGTGAATAGCACTCTCTTCAAAAGACGTTCAGCTAGTGGACTTCAGCAATCAAATTGCAGGAGCAGTAAGCTCTTTCCACTAGTAACTCCCGTGAAAGGGTCTCAGTTCCGACCAGCGTCTGCAGTCAATGGCCTCTGATGGGATTGTTTTCACACGCCGCCACACCTCATCAAGCCCGCTGCAGTGGCCAGCGGTCACCTATCGCCTGCGTCGGAATCGACGCACGCCCTGCGTCGACCAGCGTCCGTCTCTCATGTCACCCCACGACGAATACGGCGGCGGTGGCGGGCGGTGGGAGGCGGGAGGCGGGAGGCGGAAGGCGGGCGGTGGGAGGCAGAGGCGGGAGGCGGGAGGCGGGCAGCGGCGTCGCCGTCCACTGGGGAGGGACGTATCGAGCCATCCGGCGGGCCGGCCGGTCCACTTAGATACACAGACATCCATCAGCGCCATTCTGGCCACTACACTGATGGATCGGGCCGCGCTAATAAATTACCTTTCGCCGAACACGCCGGTCGGCGCCAGCGGAAATGGCGAAAAGTTGAATGCAACCCTTTCAGTGGTATTCAGGTCTCGGCTGAAGGCGTCTACCTGGGGCACCGACGGCGGCGACGCGGACTACGGTGCGTCACGAGCGACAGGGCGGCGTGGACGATATTTTCGCGAGGGCGTTTATAACGAAAAAAATGTCGTTAGTATTGATACAAAACTTTCAACAGTTATGTTGGTACGTGGCAGTGACCAAAGGCGGAGACATGAGAGTGGTAGTAAGCGTGTGAGAAGTTCCCGGCGCCGTGAGAGCGTTACTCAATCACACCACTGTCGCGGAGCGCTCCCGTATGCAGAGTCTGCCGGCCACCAGCGAGGTGTGAGCGTCCCACGGAGGATTTACATGCACTTTCTCGGCGTCATGTGATACCATAGTCAGCGCCGGTTAGGTATGCACAGACAGTGCACCGCCGTGGGTGCTGCACCGTGCACAAGCCACAGGATCACCACGATCGCCGGGCATCGCGAGTCTTGCCACACCCAGAAACGGTTTAGCGGTATTAACTTGGTAAACATCGTGAGCCCTCGGCTTCTGATGGCTGACGCTCCACGAAAACATACGAGGTACACAGGCGTCTGAGTGAGGTTTCATGCAAGCCATCCATCGAAACGCTGATCGCCATCAATCATTTCATTTGGTAGCCTGTTTTAATCCTGGTGGGAGACCCGGAAGGGCGAGGCGATTGGAGAGGTCTGTGATCATGTGGAGATTGGGGACGATGGGGTGCGGAGTGGGTGACGTAGTCAGGAACCAAATGAAGTCAATTGAAGGCGGGAAGGTCAGTGGGCGATCATGTGAAGTCATGCTGAAGGTAGGCGAACCTTGCAGCTGAAAAGATAGGCGTGGCTGAGCGCTCAGCAGTCTTGGGAAACCCTGTCACCCCTCCGCCAAGCTGACGGACATCAGCCGACAGCGTCTCCGCCCCACCAGACTGCGAACACGCCTGCTACAGAGGCCTCGACTCCGGCGGCCGCCGCTCGGCCGTCTTCACGAGCCCCTGACACCCGACATCCCGCGACCGCCCACCGCCTCACTGACCCTGCCGACCTCCTGCGACCTCAGCCGAGCGGCGCCCTTGAGCGTCGAATGACTCACCGCCGCGCGGACAATTATGTATGAACCCTGCAAGCGGACACTGCCGGGGAGGCGATACATTGTCTGCGAGAGTGTGTGGTCCGAGCGAGGCGGCGTCTGCCGGCCCACTTAGACGCACCGTGTCGCAAATGAAAACATACGCGCTTGCATCAGCGCTCAGTGTGGGATCAATGTGGGCCGCGCGGCGCGCGACATAATGGGTCCCGCTGCTGACTGCGAGTGTCGCGCCGACACGGACCTCCGCGCTGGTTACATATGCACGCCACCCTCGGCTCGGCTGGCCGTTCCGGTACGGCGCGGCGAACAATGGGGCCGTGCGGCAGCGGCGCCGACATACACCAGGGCGGACGCATTTGGAGGCGCTCGGACGCGCACGAGCAGAGCTCAGAGGTGTCGGCCGGCCTGGCCCATCCCGGAGGAGCGGCTCCAGGACTCCCGCGGTGAGGCGAGGGCTGATTTATCCGACAGCTGTCGCAGCATTGACGTTCTTGGATAAGGTGAACGAACCAGAAGAGGTAGAGGACATCCCGAAGAGAAGAGGTGTGGGAAGACAGGTAATCATGCTTTGATCGCGCAGAAAAAGAGCCAGCAACCTGGCGTGTGGGGCGGCGAAGCCCTGCCAAGATGGAGTGGTGTGACAGAAAAAGACAGGTTTTCCAACTGAGAAGGACATGAGACCGTGTTATTACCAAGAAGAAAAGGAGCAGCTCGGAATCAATCAACGGTTTCGGCGCTGGCGGAAGCACGTCGTTAGGGTTAGATCGGAAGATGAGTATCAGCGTTTACAAGACTCATCAAGGGTAATCAGAAAGCCATTGAGAATGTCGACACACCAGCGAGGGTTATATAGATGTCCAGGCGAGACAAGGCGCGCCCGTCACCTGCTCTGTCAGGCGTTAGCTGAGAGACCGGATATGACTCTTGAACTGGTATGTGGACAGAGAAATTAGCCGAGAGTCTGTAGGTGGATCCAAAAATCCAATCGTTTTTTTAGTATATTGTGCAATATGTATTCGAGTCTCTTCATTGATGTAGCTGGAGTGGGGAAACGCTACTGCAATCTTGTGTGGTTTAAACTGCAACAAGCCGTCACTGCTTATACGCGAACGGCGAAGCAGGCGCCATGAGAAAGCATCACTCGGCTGCTCCCTGTATTGCTCGATTGGTTTAGCAAGGGCCGCTTTAGCGAGTGACCATTGGCCACCGCACCTCTCATGACGTCAGCTCTGTCCGAGACTACCGAAGTCCATTACCGAGTGTAAATACTGGCACCAGTTAATCGCAATTTCAGCTGAGTGTCAAGACCTAACGACTGACTCAGTCTTCTGAATGTCGATTGTCCTAGGAAGGCCCGACTAGGCGTATAAATGATGATAATGGCTCCTCTGAAAATTGATAAAGAAATAAAAAGCTATACGCGTTTGGCTTTAGTTACGGTTCTTTTAAATAGTTTGCTGAGTGATATAAGAAATTATACTTTTATCGAGCTACACCATTAATAACTGATATAATTGGGAAACGTGACCTTATAACATAAACGGGTGCACACCTAGCACGCCTAATCGTCATGATTGTATCCATTGTGGGGCTAATTGCAGCTGGCACGTAAACAAAAACTGGTGATGAGCCCACACGAGTCTCCATGTGAGCTACTAAAGTCGTCAAAAGACCTTATTGGGAAAATAAGGAATGAGCATGAACATGAATCATTCAAGCCCTTCAAGTTCACATTCATAGTCGGTAAGATGAAAAGTGGATACTGTCAGTTGTGAACGCAGACGGTCAATATTTGACGCAACAAGCATTGTTTGTAGGGAGTGTTGCATTCTTAGTTTTATCAGAATTCAAATCAAAGTGTTACGTCATATTGTTTGCATGCAGATTTGGTCTGATGCCAGTTTGATGATAAGTTCTGGTCGGTCAGGTATGTGGAATGATTTGCCGGCAGAGTGAAATTTCGTCTGTGTTTTCTGCACCTTTAAGTTGCAAGAACGTCTAAAAAAATCAGACCTTGTCATTTTGATCCCTGATTTTGAGGGTACCTACTCAAAATATTAGTTACTCTCATGTTAAAAAGCGATTTTCAGACAAACGTTTCCAGGCAGAAATTATTTATGTCTTATGCATTAATTGCTCCTTGAACATCCCCGTGTATATCTTTTTAAATGGAACATTGATTAAATAATGCAAATCCAGTCATCTTTGTGCCTACCTACTGGCAAATGATTGCCATAAAAACGAA